TGCAGCTCAAGGTTGCGCTGAGGAGCCTCCACGCTGTGTGGACTGCAGCCTGTTCTGGTGATTGCTTTTGAACAGAGTCCTTTTCCACTGCACGGACCAGCCGCGCACTCAGCATTCTGATGGCTCCAGCTTGCACCTATGGTAGGCAGTTCTGTCCCAGCCACCGCAACGCGCTGCAGCCCCGCCGCAGCCCCGCCGCAGCCCGGAGGACACGGAATGCAGACCACTGCAACTGACTTYGTCTTGTTTCCTGCACTTCTCCTGACCCTCCTCTGCACAGCAGTGGGGGTTACCTGTCTGGTCAGACTCGAGCCTGCCCAGCTTCTCATTGTGCAGTTCTCAGCAAAAGCGGGAGCTTGGCACAGTGACAGTGACACCTCACCACAGGTGTGCGTCCCCCCTACTGCATACCTATCAGCCTGAACGTCCGAGGACAGCACCTGAAGCTTTCACTAACCAGCACTGAGTCAATTTTTTTGCATTTGGTGGGTACTTCTCTTTCATCTTTCCAAATCTAGAGCAGAAACTTTTGTTTATTTGGAACCTTTTATATAATTCTAATGGCGCTTTTAAAAGTTCTTACAGTGTCCCACATTCTGGATCTGTCTGGTTCTTTATCAAGGTATGGTTTTCTTTTCCTTCCATTTTGGAATTCAGCACTAACCTTACTTGGACTCAGACGTTTTTGACAAGAATTCTCAATGATCATAGTGGGGTACGTCTATTTCTCCTGTTGAGAGGCACATAATATCAAGGCATCCCACTATTTTTTTTAAATTTGAAAATAAATTTCCAATATTCAAGGTTACTTATTTTGAGACCCTTCTTCCCAAACCACAGATAAAACTTCAGGATGTCTAGCCTCATTCTCTTCCAGAAGTGCTTGTTATTTGTATGTATCTGGTACTTATTCGCCAGTGTCTGGGTGTGCCAGTTCTTCTCTTGGCTCGGACGTCCCCCCGAGGAAGGACACCTCCAGCAGTCTTTGCAGTCAGGCTGTCTGCAGCCACCCGGCACACCAGTTGCCAAGGCTGGCCTGGACCCTGCCCCTGCCCCCAGCCTCCGGGGCGCGGGGACCTCCGGCGCAGCGCGCTGCGGGCTGTCCTCTGCAGACGGCCTACGTTAATTCACTTTCCACTGTCCGTGTCAGCTCCCACTCCTCGGTCTCCTTGAACATTTTAGACATTCTCGGGCCCCTTTCAAATGTGGTTCTGCCTCTGAGGACACAGGGCCTCGGGTTCTGTCGGGGCCCGCTTCCTCCAGCGGCAGCTGTGTGAGCTCCGGCCTGCAGGGGGTTTCCCGTGGCCTGGGAGCCCTGGCTGAGGAACCGCCACAGGGGGCTCACGGCTGCTGCTGCTGGGGGCAGGAGCACCTCTCTACCCTGAACCTGGCTTGCCCCCATCCTGTGATCCAGCAGCTGGACTTCCAGGGGTCAGGCTTTCTGCAGCTCCCAGCTGGAGGGGCAGGTCACAGTCCACTCCTGTTCAGGCAGCGCCGCTGGGCCCGGCTGCGCATGTGCGGYTCGGTTCAGCTCCTTCCACACACGGAGACCCCAGGACCGCAGGGGCAAGCCTGAGCGTCCGGAGTGCCCTGGACTTCAGCTCCTGCTGGCCCGCTGGGAACCTGTTTTTGTTCCCTGCAGATGTCCTTCCTTGGTCCTGAGCTCAGCTATATATTAACTGCTCTCAGCTGATCAGCATTTGTGTGTGTGGACGAGGAAGGGCAGTGTCCTCGTGCACTCAGCACACTGTCCTCCTGTCCCTGTCCTGAGCCTCAGTTTCACTGCCTGCCCTGGCCACATAAGGGCCTGAGGACCCATTCCGACATCCTACTCCAGGCAGGGACTCTGCGGGTGCTGGGGCTCAGGGAGAAAAGAAGTGTGGGTGTGGTTAGAGCAGAGGAGCAGCAGAGGGAACCGGCTGCTTCAGGCGGGACGTCCAGAAGACATCTCCAGATAGGCAGTGCTGGAGGCCATTTTGTTGTTCTTTCGGTGGGGGGTACTGGAGAGTGAACCCAGGGGCAATTTAACACTGAACCCCATCCCCAGATCTTTTTTTTATTTAGAAACAGGGTCTCACCAAGTTGCTTAGGGCTTTGCTAAATTGCCGAGGCTGGCCTTGGAACTTGGGATCCTCCTGCCTCAGCCTCCTGAATCACTGGGATAACAGGTAGGTGCCACCAGGCCTAGCTAAGGGTTGAGATGAAGGGAGGGGTCAACTTCCACAAAGGCCCTGAGGCACCCTCACCCCGGAACAGACCAGGATCCTGGGCAGCTAGAGTGAGAATATGGGCAGGGCCAGGGGGTGGGCAGGGGCTTGGGTAATGGGACTCTGGCTTTTGTCAGTGGCCATAAGCAGCCACTGGAGGCCCTTTGTAGGGAGGTGGTGTGGTCTATTAAACGAGGTGTTTTGGTATAAAAAGAATCCTGTTGGCTGGGGCAGTGGCCCACACCTATAATCCCAGGGCCTGGGGAGGTGAGAAAGAACAATGGTGGGTTCAAAGCCAGCCTCACAACATCAAGGCTGAGCAACTCGGTGAGACCCTGCCTCTAAAGTACAAAATAGGGCTGGGACGTGGCTCAGTGGTCCAGTGCCCCTGAGTTCAATCTCTGGTGTCAAAAATAAATAAATAAATCCTATTGGATGCCATGCTGGTAGGACCCAGCGGGCCACGCTGGCCAGGTGGCTGCACTGCACAGACCTGGAGAAAGGGGCGAGAGGGCCACTTTCCACAAGCCCTCCTGCCGGACAGAAACTGCCGCAGCCTGGGACTTCTCAGGTCTCCCCTGTGGTGTCCCGGAGCTGGAACTGAGCAGCACCAGCCTGGGTGCTGGGAACAAGGGCCAGCCAGGGGAGACCCTGCCCAGGCACTCTGGAGCCACCCAGGTGGGTGCTCTCTGACACACTGTACTTCCTGGAGGGGTTTGAGAGGAAGGAGGAAGTGCAGCTAGAGTGCAGGGCATAGTCCATAGCAGGGAGGGGACAGTCCTGAGGACTACCAAAAGTAGCCACTCAAAAGGAGGAGGCTCAGAGCCAATGTCCCAAGGCTGCCACTCAAAATATGGCTGAAAAGGACAGGCGAGGAAGACACCCTTGATTTCTGTCCCCACTCCCGCTGCTTACTGTCCCCAGGTAACAGGTGGTGGGCYATGACCCCCTACCCCACTACCCCCCTGCCCACTGGGTAGAAGTCCTTCCACAGTGGCCAGAAGCTTCTGCAGGACTGGGACCAGCTTCGGGCTCCTGGACCTGAGAGGCACAGGGCCAGAAATCCGCTGCCTCTCATCAGAACTCCCAGCAACCAGGGCAGGGCCGGGCCATCCCCCCCCCCCCCCCCCCCCCAGCGTCTGGGCAGTTGAGCCAAGCAGGGCTGGTCCCTTCGGGTGTTTATGAAATCCTAGGCCTCCTTCTGGGCAGACTCCAGAATGGACCCCAAAGGAACCATCAGAACTCCACACCAGACCTGAGCTCACACCTGCTGGCTCCGGGGGAGCGGAGAACCAGGGGACCCCAGGGCCTGATCCCCGACTCCAGAACAGGACGGGGGCGCAGGGGAGGGTCGTCGGCAGGGTTTTCTCAATCAGGAGGAACCGTGAAGCCCCGGAAACCACCAGGGTGGGACGCCTCTTCCCCCAGCTTCCACTTCCTCCAGGGCGGGCAGAGGTCCGCGAAGGGGAAGTGCAGAGCAGGGTCGGGCAGAGCATGGGGGCAGGGAGGCGGGGAAGCGCCGGGCTGCGGGGGGCTACAGCCAGAACGCCGCGCAACCCTCCCGCCCTGCCCGGCCGCGCGCAGTCTCCGCACCCCACCGCCCCCCGGCTCCGCTCCAGTCTGGCCCGGCCCCGCCGCCGGCGCGCACTCACTCAGGCCGGACGCCAGCGCCTGCTCGTTCGCCCACATGGCCCACTCGATCTGCCCCATGGCGCCTCCTCGTTGGCCGCTCACTGCCTCCCGGCTGAGCGCGGTCACCACACCGCGCCTAACTCGAAGACCCGAGGCCCAAGACCCGCCCGCCGCCCCGCCCCGCCCCTCGGGTGACCAGGTGAYCTGCAGGCGGGGCGCTGTGGACTCCCCCGCCCACATATTACCCCCGGGACTAGGGGCCCCACCCGACCTGACTGCCGCGGGGATACAGCGCAGCATCTGCCAGTGCGTATCTAGGGCTGCACCATCGAGGACCCCGGACCCCAACGTCGGGGCAGGCTTGGGCTCTGCACGAAGGGCAAGAAGGCAGTGATGCCTCTCCCAGAGGACCCCCGCCTCCTAGATCTCATGGTCAAGGGACACTGGAAGCTCCTGATGACAGCTGGCTGGGACCAGGGTTTGCTCCAGACCTTGGCTGGCCCGCGGACCTCAWGGGGTCACAAGGTCACAAGAAGGAACGGCTGTGCAAGACTGGAAAASCCAGGAGGAGGAGCCAGGAGTGCAGTGCCCTCTCCTGGGTCCTCCCCTTGGACACACCCCGCAGCAGGGCAGGGGTGGGGCGCCAGAACTGGCGCAGGCTGGGAGGGGGGCCAAGACAGGATGGGAGCTCATGCAGAGGCGGGATCTGCTTGGGGCCCAGCCTCTCAGAGTTGGGGGATCCACGTCTTGCCAGCGGTTGGCTTCTGGCCCCATGCACTGGAAACTGGAGGTCCAGGGACCAGAATGAATTTTTTGGGGGGAGGCAGGTACCAGGGATTGAGCTCAGGGTCACTAGACCACTGAGACACAACCCAGCCCTATTTTGTATTTTATTTAGAGACAGGGTCTGAGTTGCTTAGTGCCTCACCTTGCTGTGGCTGGCTTTGAACTCTCAATCCTCCTGTCACAGCCTCCCAAATTGCTGGGATGACAGGTGCAAATGGAATTTAAGGGACTCTGGAAAGGAGAAGGCAATCCCTGGCTTTGCTTACCCTTTCCTATCCATTCCTAGGAGTGCTGCTCCCTGCTGGGCAGGGGACAGAACCATCACACCAGGGTCTCTAGAACACTGGCTTAGAGAGCAAGAAAGGGCAAGAGGCAGATGGGCAACACTCGGTTTACTCCTTGGGGACCAGTCACCAGAGGCCCAGCCCAAACACTCCATCCACACCTGAGGCCTGAGTGCATGGTCAGCCCGGGTCTCAGAAGAAGCACTGTCCACCACCAGCACCCTTGAAGCACCTGTCTCCTGAGCCAGGAGCTGCCCCGCACACTCACACCCACAACTGGGAGGGACAGGGCTCCCCAGTGGTCAGGGATCCTCTCAGCAACGGGCTCAGGCCCTAACTCCCATTCTGGCAGAGCCCTGGGTGCTGGCTGGGCATAGTGAGGCACTTGGTAGGATCTTCCTGACTGCCTGGGTAGCCACAAGTGCTCGTGCCCCATCTCCAACAATGACCTGGCCACAGCGTGTTGGCTAGGCCGAGTGCAGAGCAGCCCCAGAAGTCCCCACAAATGCACACCAACAGGCGCATGAGCTCCTAGTCCCAGAGTGGCCCCTTGTGCAGGCAGAAGGTGGGGATCCCGTGGCAGAAGTAATCAGGCAGCTGGCTTCGGCAGGCCATCTGGGCCCAGGAGGTGTGCGTGGGGGTCATCTAGGATCTGAGGCCCTGGGCCTACCTGGGGGTAGAAAAATCAGTGTTGTCATAGATGACAGTACCAACTCAGAGCCCTACTGCTGCATCTTCAAGGGCTAGAAGTCCTCAACARGGTGAGTCAGACTCCTTGAGGAATAGGGTCACCAACCCAGATGATGATGCCCACTTCCAACTGATCCAAGCTGAGCTGCCTCTGCCTGCCAAGTGTGCCCTGGCCTGGGCCAGCCAGGACCCAAGTGCAGAACACACCTCAGAACTGTGGTAACAGCTGCCCGGAGCAGGTGGCCCCAGAACAGAGAGCTGGGATCCTGGCTCTGGCATGCCTGACCACTGACTCGGGACCAGCTGCTCTGGGAAGGTTCAGCGCACTGACCCCGGTGAGTGGGCCCTGAGGGTGGAAGTGCACCACTCATGTCTGGGGCTCCCCAGGAGCTGCCCACTCACGAGCGGCTGCTCTCCTTCCTCCTGYCTTCCCAGGGCCTAGGTCTGACTCTTCCTTCGCCTCCCCAGCCCCACCCACACACTCAGCCCCAAGAGCGCAGGGCATCCCTGAAAGTCCGCTCTGCAAGCAAGGAAAGCCCACCAAGTGCCTCGAGAGGGACAGAGGTGCAGGCCATCTTTGCCATCACTGGCCCTCTGCTTCCTTCCCTTAGCCTGGTGTTCAGGAGACAGAAGAGGCCTCACCTGGGTAGCAATGATGTACTGGACACCACCAGGGCTGGGCTCCATGGCCAGTGCAGCTTTCAGCGTATCAGAGAGAAGAACAGGTGTCACTTGTAACCCCTTCAGAAACCTGGGCAAAGAGGGCAGGAATGTGTGCACGGCTCCAAGAGTAAAATGTCCAGGATGGAGATGGCGGGCAGGTAGGGCTGTCAGGGCAGGAGGTGGGGCAGGCACTGCAGGTGGGGAATGGGTTTCCTTCAGGGACAGGGAGGAAGTCATGAGGTTGGTCGGACTCCACGCTGGACCCCAGGGGGGCTCAGGCTTTGTGGATCCTTCCCTTTTCTCTCTTCTGGTGCTGGGATGGAACCAGGGGCACTTCACCACAAAGCTACGTTCCCCATCCTTCAGTGTCCATGTGTACACATGGCCCACGTGGCCCCAGGCAGGATGTGCCATGGTGCTTGCTGCCCGACCCAGGCTCAGTGTCATGACCTTCAGTGCCCGTGCCTGGCAGGACGGTCCAGGCACTGTCTCCAAGGAAGGACGGGGAAAGGACCACACTCACTTGTCTCCATTCGTCTCTGGGGGAAAGCTGTGTCTCACGGCAGCCACAAACTCAGCCACGGTGTCCTCCAGGGTGAAGATCACAGCGTTGGGGCCCGCATCAAACGTGTACGCCACCTGGAGCCCACGGCAGTCAACCTAGTGCTCACAGGGCCCATCCCTCCCAGACCCTCTATCTGCCAGGGGGATGTGGGTGTCCAGGAGCCAAGGGAGGCCCTTGGGGAACAAGAATGAGAAGTACTGCCGCCTGCCACTCAGGAAGAGGCAGTGGGGCTGTGACCCGAGGGGCCAGGCAACCAGCCCAGTAGCCACAGCACCCTGGAGCCTCCCGGCTCTGCCTGCAGCAGGGGTCACGTCTGAGCCGCCCTGCCGCGCCTCACCTTCGTCTGTCCGTGGCAGGCGTTGAAACGGTGCACCAGCTGTACGATCCGTCTGGAGACGTCGTTGAGGTACGAGATCGGGGGGAAGGTGTCCAGGCAGGTGGCGTGGAACTGGTTGCTGTCCTTCATGGTCAGCTCGGCAAAACCCGGGAAGTCCCGGGCCTGGATGCAGGAGATCATCTCCCGCAGGCGCGACGGCACCACCGACTCTGCCCGGAACTGCAAGGTTCAGGCCGTTCTCCAAGGAGGCGCTGGCACTGGGACCACAGCCTGGCTCCAGCACAGGCCCCTGAGCCAGAGGCCTGGTGAGCCCCAGGGCTGCCCTCCTACCCCACTCACCTTGAGCAGGGAGCTGGTCTCCACACTGGTCTGCATGCCCACTGTGCTGCCCATCTGCTTCTTCTCCGCGCTCACCTACGGCAGGCGAGCTGAGCTCTGCTGAGCAGGGAGCTGTGCCAAGCCTGCAGACCCCAGCCCCGACACTCGGCCCTCCCACCATGGGCGGGCAGTGGGGGCCATAGTGAGGTGACCTGCGTTCAGGACTGGCCACATCCCCCTCACAGAAGGGCAGCAGCCCGGCCACATGGGGTCACTCCTAACAGCTCGGCCTTGGGTTGGCTCCTTCAGCCCTGCTGACCCAAGAGCCCAGGGAAGCCTGGAAGGAGCCCAGTTCCTGGTCTCAGCCCAACCTGACCGCAGGACTGCAAGCCAGCTGCTGGCCACGCCCTAGGCCACTCACCACAAGGACGAGGATTCGGAGTTGGGGCCAATGTGACTCAGGAGCCACCTGCCGGGCGACACTGTCCTTCCCATCAGCCTGCTCCCCCATCTGCCACTCCACAAAGCCCCCGTACAGGCTCCGGCAGGCGCTGCCAGAGCCACGGCGTGCCACTTCAGAGAGGTCATCCTCAACCCCATACACCCGGGCCAGGGTATAGGCTGCAGGAGGGGGAGGGCGTCAGAGGGCTGGTACACAGAGCATCCTTATCACTGGGACTTTTTGAGATGGCAGATCCTGCACAGTGGCTCCCAGGGTCAGCACCCACCGGCTCAGGCACTCCCTGGTTACTTGGCACCTCCCAGGCCACACTAGAGGGGTAGTCTCCTGCAACTACCCAGGGGACCGGAGCCCCCGGGGCCTGGAGAAAGCTTCTCCAGGGTCAGTGACCAAGTTGGGCTCTGGGGATGGGAAAGAGTCTGGAAAGTCCCTGGAGAGAGACCAAGGCAGGAGGCCTGGGCAGTGTGCCCACTAGGGGTGCAGGTGGCAATGGGAGGCAGGATGTGACAGGCTGCTTGCCCAGCCTGGGGTCTCTTGCCCAGTTTCCAGAGGTCCTGCCTCCAGGCCTGGCTCACCCACAGCCCTAGTCAGAGGCAGCTCAGAAACTCAGCTGGGCCAATGAGCACCATTCTGGACTCAGAGGCGAGGGTGGTGGCTCGCCACTGTGTGACTGGTGGTGCCACCAGCTGGGGACAGCCTGCCAGAGGTGCCCCAAGCAGAGGGAAGCAGAGCTGAGATTCTGGTGGCAAGAGCTGGACTCCTGCTGAGCCTGCTGGAGAGCCTGACCAGGCTATGCCCAAGGCCAGGACAGCCCCTGCAGCCCTCAGTTCCAGGAGGAAGAAGGTCACTCAAGCCAGCCTGAGGTGGTTTTTGTCCCAAACTGCAGGGCCTGAACAGGACATGTTCAGAGGTGAGTCCTGGACAGCAGAGCCTGGCGCTGGCTCCCCACGCGCTACAAGAGCACAGAGGACACCTACCTAGGCAGGCATAGCCTGCTGCAGAGGAGGCCAGGCCCGCGGCCGTGGGGAAGTTGTTCTCAGAGGCTATGTGCACCTTGTAGCTGAGGCTCAGAGGCAATGAGTCTCCATCGCCTGTGCTTCTCCGCTTCCGAGCCAGGCGGCGAACTGCCGAGAAGGGAAGACAGTGAGTGGTCCTGCCACGGGGCAGACCCACGCTGGCGTCTTGCCTGCCAGGTGGCACCACCAGTCACACAGCGGGTACAGCTGAAGAATGACCTCCGCCCCTCAGACAGCGCTCCCCGCTCTGGGAAAGCCTGGGCCCCAGCCAGCTCTCTCCCAGTCATATGAATACCAGAAACAATTACAGGGTTATTGACTGCTGACTGTATCAGTTAGTGAGTGTGTATTGACTGAATAGTGAATGACGCTAAGCAACGTGCCTGTGATGTAATGTGAACTGCAAAACTTAGACTTCAGTTAGTGATGTCAGCATCTACCCCCAAGCGTACACCCCAGACCTCACCCAGTTATCAGCTGTAAGCACAACTGAACTAGGACTTAAAATCCCAGACTTCTGGGGGGCGACGGGACTAACAGGCCTCTGTCACTGTTGTCCCCCCTGCACCAGATTCCTCCAGCCTGGATCAAGATCCAGTGACCTGGACTTAAGACACGTCACTGGTAAGCGCCTGGGACCCTTGAGTGTAGACTCAGTTAGGACTTAGAATTAGGATGTGTGTCTGAAGTGTGATGAGCATTAATAAAACAGATTTGATTAAATCTGACTGCGCCTCAGACTGAGTCTAGTAACTGCTCATGACACCCAGCCACAGGTCTGACCATGACAGGAAGGCCAAGGGCACAGAGGACGTGTGGACCCTGGCTTACTCTCTCTCAGGCAGGCCTGGAGGCGTGGCTGCCCCACGTCCTCCTCCTGGCCGTTCAGCCAAATGCGGTCCTCCGTGAAGTCCTTGCTGATGGTGGCCGTGGTGGTGGTTTTTAACTAGGAAGGAAAACAAGGGGCCTCAGGGACAGTGCTGGGCCTCAGGCCCCCAGACATCTTTCTGTGCACAAGGCCTTCCCTACCTGTGACCCTTGTGGCTGCCCACTCATGCAGAGCTGGGCACTGGGAGCCCCACGGGGACCCGGCTCTCGCCCAGCCCTGGTTTGCCACACACTCCCGTCTCCACACAGAACAACTGCCCAGAACCTCCTGCACAAGGAGAAGCATCCCAAGGGGACTCCGGGGCTGTCTGCCAGGTGGGTGGGAGTGGGCACAGCCCTGGCCAGGGATCCACGCACAGTCATCTCACCCTGGCCTTAGGTAAAAAGCTGCCAACTTTCTGACAGTTTGTGATTACGCATTTGGTATTTGTGGTCAGCATGTTCTCACCTGGTCCTGGTGCAAAGTGACACTCAGTGAGGAATTGATGGGTAGGATCAGCTCCTCATCTCGCTTCCCCCCTGAAACAGACAACCAGAGGCCTGGCCAGGGGGTTCTAGGACTACAATGCACAGTGGCCCCTGCCCACTCCCACAGCCCCGCTTGCCTCAATCCTGCTCTCACTATCCACCTAAGTCCTCCCCTTCCGGCCATGCCACTGACTTCCAGAAGCCCTCCTGGACTGCCCCTCCTCACGGGCTAAGGCCCCCAGCCCACCTCCCTAGTCAGTGACCTGCTGGTCGCCTCCCATTCATACCACAGGTCACCTCAGTGTCTGTGAGGCGCTGAGGTGCTCACAGGTGTGCACAGCCTCCCCATCTGCTGTCTGCCCAAACGGAGAAGCCCAGTTTTGGAAAGCTCCTCGACTTGCCCAAACCCACTGTCACGCCAAGTCGCAGCAGGCAAAGTCAGTCTCCAAAACCAGCAGCAAAAGGCTTCCACCAGGAAGCTCACAGCGCCCTCTCAACACGCCTTGTTCCACACACCCAGGCGCACAGCTGGCTGTGAGGTCTCTGGGATACGAGACAATACCACTGGTACCTGCCAGGTGAACACCTTCCACAGTTCACAAAGCACTTCTCAGACAGAGTGAGCAGATCTCCTTGGGGTCCTAGAGGACTGATCTCAGGGCCAGGCAGACTGGTCCCAGGAGATGGAGCGATGTCCGACACCCCTCCTCACTGCATACAATTTATGCCATCCAGCAGACTCTCAAGATGAGGGAAGGCAGACCCTAGGACCTTGGAGCTGGATGTGGCTTGTGGTGTGTTCCTCAGCAGCCCCAGCCCCAGCCCCACAGCTGGGAACCAGAGCTGCCCAGGGGCGCAGACCACCGCGTCTGCTCTTACTAGCCACTAGGGCCAGGAATGCAGCCCACTGAGAGAGCAAACACCACAGAGGCTGCTCGGCCTTGGCACAGTCTGGATGTCCCCCTCTGGGCTGGAATGGGGTGCTCCACCCCCTCTTTCTCAACCCAAAAGGGTAAAGGAGGCTTTCATCTGAGCGGGGCACCTGGACTTCACCCCAGGTAGTGAAAGGTCCTCCCCTTGCCCAGCTGGGTGTTGCCAGAGGCCAGGTGGACACCAGGATCCCTGCCCCCAGTGACAAGACACTGGACTTGTGCTTCCACCAGGCGGTCTGGAGTCTCAGTGAGAGGCTCCCAGGTAAGACCAGAGCCTCACAGTGAGAACGTCCAGCTTGTCAGGCCAAGAAGGAGGGTCCAAGCTACTACCAAAAGGAGGGTCCAAGCCACCACCAAAAGTGCCAGCTCCATGGATCAGGGTTATCTGGCCAAGGCTGGAAAGCAGCCATGATTAATAAAGTGCTTCAATAAGCAACTACAAACCCACTTGAAATAAATAAGACGGGCTGGGGGTTAGCTCACTTGGTGGAGTGCTTGCCTTCATGACCAAGGCCCTGGGTTCAATCCCCAGCACCACCTCAGCAAAAGAAGGAAGGAAGGAAGGAAGGAAGGAAGGAAGGAAGGAAGGAAGGCTGGCTCTGCAAAAAACAATAAATAAAAGATCAAGCTGGCCACACTACATACACCTGTAATCTTGGTGACTTGGGAGGCTGAAGGAGAGGACTGAAATTCCAGATCAGCCTGGGCAACTTAGCAAGACCAAACCTCAAATTCAAAACAAGAAGCTACATCTGGATTATAGCTCAGTGGTAAAGTGCCCCTGGTTGAATCTCCAGGACGAACCAGATCAAGAATCAAGTGGAAATGTTAGAGCTGAAAAGGACAATAACTGACATAGAAAGCTCAGTGGACAGACTTGATGGAAGGACAGAGAAAAGATTCCGTGAACCAAAGACTGAGTAATATTTCAAAATCAACCACAGTAATAACCTACCACAGTAACACTCCAATGAAGAAAACCCCTGCAATATTATCAATACACACAGAAAAGGCATTTGACAAAATTCAACAGCCATTAATGACAAAAAAACAGAAAAAGAAAAAAAAAACTCTCAGAAAAATAGGAATAAAGGGGAACTTCATCAATCTATAAAGAATACCTACAAAAGAGGCTGGAGTTGGGGCACTGTAGTGGCACAGTTGTGGCACTCGCCTAGCACATGCAAGGCCCTGTGTTTGATCCTCAGTGCCACAGAAAAATAAATAAATAAAAGTATTGTGTCCAACTACAGCTATAAAATAGATATTTAAAAAGGAATAAAAAGAACACCTACAGAATGCCTGCAGCCTGCACACTTAGAGTAGCAGACAGAACTCCATCAGGAACAAGGCAGGAAGGTTCCCATCCCCACTCTTGCTCTCTTCTTTAACAGAAGGAAAGGGAAGGAAAGATGAGCAGGCAGACTGAAAGAAAGATACCAAATAAAATCACCCTTCCTTGTAGATGGCATATTTGTCTCATAAAAAAAAACCTTGGGGAATCCTAAAAAAAAAAAAAAAAAAAAAAAAAAAAAAAGCTAATAAATGAATTCACTAAGGTTGAAGGATTCACGATAAGTACACAAAAAATGTACTGTTTTCTATATGCTAGTAATGACCAGTGGGGATGACTATTAAAAATACAACAGCATTTGCCATCAGATGGGGACACAATGTAAGTTTAAATTAAATCGTAGACACTTGTATGCTGTAAATTACACAATACCGATGGAAGAAATCAAAGCTCTAAATAAATTACATACCATGTTCTTAGATAGGAACACTCAACATAGTAAAAATGCTGATTCTTCCCAAATTGTTATGTAGGTTTAACCCAGCACAGATAGAACATATCAAAATCCAAGCAAGAATTTCTATAGAAAGATCATTCTAAAATTTATATGGAAATGCAAAGGAACTAGTAGGTAACCAATTTAAAACAAAGCAGAAGCAATTTGAAGACTTACTACATGGTTATAGTAATCCAGGCAGTTGACAGTGGTGGAAACAGAAACAAAACAGAAATCCCAGAAATACGACCTACTGAATTTTTTTTTTTTAATAAAAGTGCAAAAACAGCCAGGTGTGGCATTGTACATCTGCAATCCCAGCAACTTGGGAGACTGAGGCAGGATGATTGAAAATTCAAAGCCAGCCTCAGCAAATCAGAGGAACCCTAAGCAACTTAGTGAAACCCTGTTTTAAAATAAAAATGTAAAATAAAATAAAGAGGGCTGGGTATAGCTCAATAGTAAAGCACCCCTGGGTTTGATCCCCAGCACAAAAACAAACAAAAACACTAAATAGTGAAGGAGCAAACAATTCAACTGGAACTCGGTGAGAGACTCCAAAAGACACAGGCCAAAGAGGATACACACAGATGCAAATCTGCACACGGAAAGATGGTCAGCATCAGTGGCCATCAGGGATATGTGAATTAAAACCACAATGAGCTTCTACCACCAGGCTCTCAGGACGTGGCTGGGGAAGTGGGAAGGGATGAGGCTGCTCCTACTGCAGGTGCGTCCACAACCACATTCAGTCCAAAACTTCCACTAGAAGTGGCCGTCTGCACCATCAGCATTGCCATCAGCACGGCCACCTCCCTCCCCAGCCTGCGACCCCTAGCACTGACCCAGACCCCCGTACCCCAAGAACTCGAACCCATGACCCCATCCCTTGGTCCTGACACCCCCAATTCCCAGCTCTGCGACCTCGATTTTGGCTCTGGGACTCCCAAGTACTGACCTGTGTCCCCCAACCCGATCCTAAGACCCCATCCCAGGCCGCTCCACCTCTACTCCCTGGCGATCCCCATCCTCCACCCGCCACCCCTCGGCCCCAGCACCGGGTTCCCAGTCCCACGCCGGTCCCTGCCCCCCCCCCCCGTCCCTCCTTCTCAAACCCCGTCCCTGACGGCTCCACCCCCGGTCCCTGCCCTTCGACCCACTGTCCCAGGCCACTCCACCGGCGGTCTCTGTCCCTCGAACCCCATCCCCACCACTCAAACCCCGGTCCCTGCACCCTCAAACCCCGTCCCCGGCCGCTCCAGCCCCCGGTCCCTGCCCCCTCAAACCCTGTCTGGGGCCGCTCCAACCCCCGGTCCCTGCCCCTCCACCCACCGTCCGCAGCTGCTCCACCTGCGGTCCCTGCCCCTCGAACCCCATCCCCGGCCACCCCACCCCCGGTCCCTGCCCCTCGAACCCCGTCCCCGGCCGCTCCAACCCCGGTCCCTGCCCCTCGACCCCAGCCTCTCCAGCCTCATCCCAACCCCGGGTCGCGCCCCCCGACCACCGTCCCCGTGTCCCCGGCCCGCGACACTCACAGTACTTGATGACCGCGATGTTGACAGGCGCGGTACAGGTGACGGTCGTCAGCAGCTTCTCGGAGGCCATGGCCAAGTCACCCGCAGAAACCAGCGCACAGCCGCCAACTGTGGGGACCCCGCCGCCGGCTCAGCCGCCTCAAGCGCCCCCACGCTATTGGCCCAAGCGGTCCCGGCTGCTCGCGCGCCGTCCAATCAGAGAGCGGCCGAGCGCACGCTCCACCCGTCAACCAATGGGCGGGATCGGACGATAGGCAGCCGACGCCGAGCCCGCCCCCGCTCTCCCGGAGCTCGCCCCGCGCCTGCGCGGGGCTGGGCCTGCGCAGGCGCCGAGCGCGCGCGGGGCGGGGTTCTGGTAGGTGCGCCGGGCGGCCTTCCGGGGTACCGGGTTCCKCGCGCGGGCCGGACCCTCCGGAGTGGGCGGGCTCGCGAGGGCCTTGGGCCCCGAGACCGGGGTCTGACCTTAATCCCGAGATCTTCCTTGAGCCCGCAGACCTCGGTCCTCCCAGCGTCCCGCCGCTGCTGCGCCGGGTCCTGGGGTCGCTTTCGCCCCCACCCAGGGTCCCCTGCCCCCAAGTCCAGGGGCAGCCTGTGCCCCGCATCCTGCGGGCTCCAGCGTCCGGTTCCTAGAGCGCCCGCCAGCCGCGCTCCTGGCCAGCCACTGCGCCTGGCGTGTCGCGGGCTGCTGATGGGTGAATTGCATGCGTGACAACGCATTTTCAAACGCCCTCGCCCCGTTTAAGCTTCACATAAAAAGGATTCCGTTTTCCGCCATCGAAAGTATTGACCTGTAGACAGATATACGTGTGTGTGGGTGTTGCTGTTGTTGTTGTTGTGGGTGTTGCTGTTGTTGCCGCTGCTGCTGCTGCTGGGGATGGAACCCAGGGTCTTCCTTGTGCATGCGAGGCAAGCACTCTGCCAACTGAGCTATATCCCCAGCCCCAAACATACATACATACAATTTTTGTTGTAGGAAAATATGTGTAACAAAAATTTACCATCGTAATTCTTTTTTTTTAAGCGCACAGCTGCGTGGATTAAGCATATTTACATTGTGTAACTGAAAGACTCCAGCCCAAAACCACCGAGGCATGTCACAAACCTATGCAGGCACCAGAGGTATTTTTCAAATAATTAGTTAGGTGTAACCGGTTGGGAAAGGACAAAGGACCAGGTCCCTAGGCATGCCTGAATGAGCAGGAGCAGGAAGACCGGAGTGCAAATATGTAGCTTTTATGTGGTTCTTTTTTAGTAACATACAGTGAAAAACAACTTTGCCCTTTAGGTAATCTATATGCTGGGTTTAAAATTAACCAATAAGAAACSTATTGTTTCCCCCGCGCGAAAACAGCCCCTTTACCCTATAAAAATCTCTGTATCCCCAAGCCCGGYGTGCCAGCTCACCAAAGCTCCGGCTGAGGTTCTGCTGGGCACCCGCAGGCGCCTGTGTCCCAATAAATCCCTCTTGCTTTTTGCAGCCAGTGTTTCGTGTGATTCTCCTTGGACAGGGAAATGGGGGTCTTTTCATTATTACCACTATCTGTTTCCAGAACTTTCTCATCATCCCAGAAACGGTTCCCAATGGACACCTAACTTCCAATTTCCCCTATTTTAAGCTTTAAAAGGGTTTAGAGGGCTGGGATTGTGGCTCAGCGGTAAAGCGCTCTCCTAGCACGGTCAGGACCCGGGTTCGATCCTCAGCATCACATAAAAAAAAWAATAATAATAAAGGCATTGTGTTGTGTCCAACTACATCAAAAAATAAATATTTCTTTTTAAAAAAGGGCTTAGAGGGGCTGGAGATGTGGCTCAAGCCGTAGCGCGCTCGCCTGCATGTTGTCAACTTTTTGCAATCTTTCTTTGATGTTTTTTATGCACAATATAAGCAAATAGTCCCCTCTACCCTCCCCATCTTTCCTTTTCCACTTAAATGTCTCTTGGAGATCATCCCAAATCAGTACCAAACATTTGTTGTCTAGCATTACATAATTTATTTAAGCCATCCTCTGTTGATGAGCCATTGAGTTGTTACCAATTTTTTAATACTGTAAACAATGCTTTCCCACACATTTTGTGACAGTGCATTTTTTAAAAAATTATTTTTAGTTGTAGTTGGACAAAATACCTTTGTTTTATTTATTTATATTTATGAGGTACTGAGATTCGGATCCAGGGCCTTCCATGTGCTGGGGGAGCACTCTACCGCTTAGCCACACCAACAGCCCTTGGGACAGTGTGATAGTGCATTTCTTTTCTTTTTTAAAATATATTTTTAGTTGTTGATATATCGACATTTATTTTATTTATTAATATGTGATGCTGAGAATCAAACCCAGTGCCTCACACATGCCAGGCAAGTGCACTACTGCTGAGCCCCAGGCCAGCCCCCAGCGGTGCATTTCTGTAGGAGAAATTCCTGAAGTGGAGGTGCCAGGCCAAGCAGTATATGCCTGGGGTAATTTTGATAGCTGCTGGCAAACTGCCCTCTCCAGAAACCAATTCCATTGTTCAGCTTTTTCTACCAAAGTAGAAGAGCTTGAACATGCCTCTGCTGACAGGTGCCCATTGTTAGTCTGAGAGCCCCAGGATTGCATCTTGTCCTTGCTTCAATTTGCATTTCAGATGACTCTTGATTTTAATTTCTCTTGCAATCAACTTTCTATTTCCTGAAAAGCTACTAAGATATCTTAGCCTCAACCACTTAGCAAGGCCCTAAGCAACTTAGTGAGGCACTGTCTCAAGATGTAAAAAAAGCTGGGGTGTGGCTCAGTGGTAAAGTACCCTGGGTTCAATCCCCAGGACCAAAAAAAAAAAAAAAAGAAAAAAGTTGTTACTGAGCTGAGCCTGGGAAGGGTGGAGCCAGAAGCCCCATGGACCTCAGTGATCTGTACTCTGGCCTGAGAGTGAAGAGAAAGATGTGTACGAAGCATCTGTTTTTTCCAGACAGGGCTAGGTGCTTATCTGTGTTCCTGGGTACCTTACTGATGTCATTTTTTTTTTTTTAAAGAGAGAGTGAGAGAGAGAGACAGAATTTTTTTTAATATTTATTTTTTAGTTTTCAGCGGACACAACATCTTTGTTGGTATGTGGTGCTGAGGATCGAACCCGGGCCGCATGCATGCCAGGCGAGCGCGCTACCTCTTGAGCCACATCCCCAGCCCCCGATGTCATTTTTAAGGATCACAGTATTACATATTCATGACTTGAAGCCGATTGACAGACCCCTATCACACCTACCCACTTCCAGGTTCTAGCTACTCAAAGGCAGCCACTTTTAAGTGTATTTTCCTCCATGTTTCTTCTGTGTAACCTAGTGTGGGGGGCACATGATTGCCACAGGTTAAGCATCCTAATCTGGGAATGTGAAATTCAAAATTCTCCAAACTGAAAGCTTTTAACACTGATGTTGAGTTCACATGTGGAGTTAGTGGAGTTATGATCACAGTTAAGACACAGGAACACGTGACATCTGGGCTCTGTGTGTAAGGTACACACAGAGTGAACGTGTGTGGGTGGACTTGGTCCCCATCCCAACAATATTTCATTTTGTATATGCAAATACTCCAAAATCTGGAATCCAGAAACCTTCTTACTCCAGCACTTTGGATAAGGGAGACTCCAGCTGAGCTAAGTAAATGAGGACTTCTCTTCTGTTTCCCAGTCACACACCATCCTTCTCCCGCCTGTGATTGTGTCTACCATGTTCGCAGTTGGGTGGTGTGGGCACGTGCCTGGCAGTGTGTGAACAGGCACAGGCTGCCTTCCTCGGTGGAGAAACACTCTGTGAACCTCCAGCAGGAGGCAGGACACAGCCCTGCAAGCCTTCCACCTAGGTGCACTCGTGGGGCTGGAGTGCATGACTAGGTCACAGGCGTGTGTGAATGTCCAGGATGAGTTCAAAGGGTCCCTCTTACATGACTATTTTGAGTTTGCTGTCCAAGTGGCTTGTGGGGTCACAGTGGAGGAGATAACAGAGAACAGGAGATTTGAAATACCCTAACAGTCTTCTGATTTGTTTGATTATAAAGAGTTTCAAAGCAGAAGATGGTAGGTCCAAGGGAAGCAGAAAAGCAGTTTGAAATTCTGTGCTACCTACCAATAACAGAGAGAGGGCACTCTCCCTGCTGCAGGCATGAGCGCTCCCATTCTGCCCCGATTTCACGTTCCAGTCTCGGATTGCCCTGTGCCCACGAGGCCCTGGAGACGCTGTTAAGGTGTACCTCAGGCTCAGAGGTTGGAGATGGGCCTGGGACTCTGTTTCCAGCTGTACCCAGGACTGCTGGTGCAGTGGTGGCCTCACCTTGAGTGGCAGAGGCAGATGACATAAGGTGTGACACKACATCGTGTACAGGCCCACGGCCCTGGAGTCGGGCCAGGCTGTTGCCCTGTGTATAAGGTGGGAGCCGTGCGCCCTACAGAGGTGCTGGRAATGCTGACGGGTGCGAGCCAGCCGCTGGCACAGGGCTTGGTACTGAAGCCCTGAATAAAAGGTTGGGCCTTCTTGTGGTGTGAGAGACGGGAAGAAGTGCAGACGTGGGTGTCCTGGAATGTCATTGTCAGGCGCTGTGTGAGGTGGGCACAGAGGCTAAGGGTCACTTCCCAGGCTACAGATCCCCGGGACCCACCTGATTTTCCCTGAGCCAGGAAAATAGGAAGGTAGCTTTCTGTCCCTTCAGTCAACACTCTGAAGTGTCTGTCGTGTGTGTGGGGGGGGGCATGGCTAAGCGTAGGGACACACACACCAAACACAGCATCCAGGTCCTTGGAGAAGGTAAATGAGAAGGGAGGTCATTCTAGCTCCGTGCTGCAGGCTGGGGAGTGATGGGCCCCCAGGGAGGACTAACCAGGACTGAGTACCTGCTGGGCCCTCGGGACTTGGCCTCGACAGGCCAGCAGAGGGGACCAGAGTGCAGCCTGGACACTGACCTCTCCCAGCCCCAGCATCAGGGACTGCAACCCCAGCAGGTGACCTGAAAGGAAGGTGTGGATCTGTGCGTGGGTTTTCCTGTGTCCACTTCACTTCAGCCCAGTGCGTCCAGGTGTCCTCAGAGGCAAATGTCTGCACAGCAGTCAGCAAAGTGAAAGCCCTCAGCCAGGCCCCTGGAGGGCAGCCCAAGCCTTCCCTTCACAGGGCCCAGCAGCAGCCC